CATTGCTTATCCACTGCAGGATGAAGGTCTCTTCCACTGGTTTCCAACCTATATGCCTACTCCTTTGGCTATGTATCATTTAATGTTCTCAATATTCTTTTTGCTATTATCTTGGTGAAAACCTTGTAGATGACTGAAAGAAGACTTACTAGGTGATAGTTTTATAAATTAGTGGAGCAACTTTAATCAGTGGAACAACTTGCCTCCAGAAGTTGAGAATGCTCCAACATGTTTTTAAGAAGATGTTGGATAACCATTTGTCTGAAGTGGTGTAGGGTTTCCTGCCTAGGCAGGGGGTTGGACTAGAAGACCTCCAAGGTCCCTTCCAACTCTGTTATTCTATTCTGTTCTAAATCACCTTTCTTGTGCATAAGGGTCATTTTATCATTTTTCCATGCGGGTAGTTTTTCTTCTCTTAAGCATCTTGAGTATAGTTTTGCTAGTATCTTGTATAAACTGTGACCACCAGCTTTCAGCATTTCAACCATAACAGTTTGCCTTATAGAGAGCCATAATGTCTAGTTCTTAGTTAATACTGATGTGCTTTTTAAATAAAAAGCAGCATAGATCTATAAAGGAAGAAAACATACCTTCCGTACATGAAACATTCTACAATCACAGCACATTTCACAAAATCTAGGGAGAATGAGTCTCTCTGTAATGTCCTTTCCAACCATGGAGGCCATTTTGCACATTATCTAAAAATAAAGACAATTTTAGTTATGCATCTAGCAGTCCAACTTCTTTAAATTTATAAACCTATGACTCTGCATTCTATAAATGTACATGTGTGTATGTGTATTTGTCTGCATTCATAGACACTGAAATATTATCAACAAAAATTGAAATAACATTGTTTTTCAATATAAAGTTAGTAGAAGACACCTACGAATGAGCTGTGACATTAACTAAATGAACTTTTGGTCAGTTTTATACTGCACTTTACTGTATGTCCACAAGCAGCAGTAAGATATAAACAGTTCAGAGAAATATAGATTTGATACTAGATGTCTGATTTTTGGTTCAAGGATGTGTGAGCAATGTGTCACAATAAATTCCAATCCCCCAATCCAATGTCATAAGAGCCAATAATGGATATGATGGGAACTGCCCATCACTGTTATAAATACACAAATCACATGATTTGGAAAAACACATGGGAAGTTAGTTATATCCATGTAAACAAAGTCCCTTCAATTAAACTTTACACTATGCTGAGTTTTTTTTAATCCAAATTAATAAAGTCAGTTAAAATATAAAGGCCGTGTGGCTAGAAATATCAAGAAAGAAAAGTGAAAAAAATGAAAAGTGAATCTGAATGAATATGGGTATGACCTCAGAGCTGAGCTTATAAAATAAGGATGAGGGAAATAATGTTATGATTAAAATATTATTTTTTAGCATTTTTTTAGCATTTTATTAAGATTTATAGGCCGCCCTT